TTAGCCTTACAAACTTTAGTGATAAAGGTAGCAGCTATGATTGTTGTGTTCTTGCAGATGCAAGCGAAACAGTGACAATTTTTTCAAAGGCGCCAACAAAATCTCCACACCTTCTGTAAGTTTAAAGTTGGCAGAAATCAGTATCTTATACTTTTTCATGCTATAAAAATCAGTACTTTTCAGTACACTTTTATTCAAGACAAAGTTATGAATGTAAGAAACAGAAAATACTTTAAAATGCCAGAGTGCGGGTACTTGTTTTTAACAATATTTTGGTATAAAAATAAAATGTAGTTCATAAAAAATAAACATGTTACTTTTTACTGTACGTTTTAAGGAAGCTCCTACGTTATGTAAAAACCTTTGTCCTAAAGTATTGTCTTTGTGTAAAATAATATAACATAGGCAAAATACATGGAGAAAAGTTATCGAACACCGAGTCATCGAATAACACGCGCGGTGGGAAGACCACTATTACATTTTTTTTCTCAAAATTGAAAATTCGGTTCAAATCAGTACAAATTTTAAAATTTCAGAACTGATTGAAGAAATGAATAAAATCAGTACGAAAGCTGAAAAATCAGTACTGTACTGATATTTAAAATCAGGGCTAAGGAGTGAACGAAACCATATCCAAACTGCCACCTACATTAACCACTATCATTTAAATGGCTTGCGAGGACCAAATTTTTGTTGGCGGAAAATCGGGTTTTGAAGCTCTTCACTAAAACGTAGCCGCTTATCTTAAAATCAATAGAAATGATAATGCAAAAATAACCGCTACCTCTTCTTCTACGTTGCACGTGTAAATAGATGTATCGATTACCGATAGGTCACTAGAACCAAATATGTATTAATTTTCACTATGGGAGTATATGTATGTAAATTCAAAACTTTAAAGCCGTTTTTCTAGAGTGCATACATTTTTAATCCATCTGCTTTTCACTGCCCTTTCCGCTGCTAATTATTAAGCGTAAATGTAAAAAAAGCACATCAATCATTGACACGTACTCTCTCACACACACACACACACACACGCAATCACAATCGCATACGCTCACCTTGCCCGCCTTTAGTGTACAAAAACTTTGCTGGACGCGTCGGAAGAAAAACATTGTATTCAATTAAACAGAATTTTGCATTCAACCGCATTTCAATTATTCGGTTTTTCAATGTTTTGGCGGTTTTTCATATGATTTTTTTTTTTATTTATTTTTGATACACGTTGAGGGTCTTACCGCAAATTGAATTTCAATTAAAACGAGGTGACTGAAAATTATTGCATCAAGTAGCGGAGAAGAGGTATGGTGTGAATTGAGAAAAATAAAAATAATAATAATTCAAATTGAATATTATTAATAAAATGTTAAAAAATATTATTTGTAAATTACTTTGTTTACAATTTTGCTGAAAGCTTACATTTAATTGTAGTTTATATTTTTTAACTGTTATTGTTAAACACAAGTTATTGGCTTTGGCTAACAAATAACTTTTCATTAAAATAAATTTCAGTAAACAGATTTACGCCAGCCAAAATTTTTCAATAGGTATTATATGTATGTACACAAATTTGTGAGTATGTAGATATACGCAGTCATAACTGTAATTTGGCATGCATGTACTAGTTAATGTAATTACCGTTATAGTGCATAATCCTAATTGTTTATGCAATTGTTGCTATTAAAATTTAATTCGTTTATTTTTTTATTTTTAAATAAGGCTTTTATATGATGCCATTTCAATATTTATTAGCCGCAGTAAACAAATAATATCTCTGCACAAAATTATTGCAACATATTTTTTGAATAGAAAATTTTTAATTACAAAAAAAAATATTGAAATGATAAAAATGACAATAGGAGAATTCCATCGTCACGTACACACAAATTCAACTACTTTTCTCTTATTTTAAGATGTACATATAGTTTTAAATTAAGGCTAATAAGATACGCCTTTTATGTAGTCATTAGTCTTTGACTACACTGGTTTACAGCAAAAATGTTCTATGGATACCACTATCCAATTCCTATGTAGAATTGCTCGGTGAGCCCGAAAATCGAGATAATTTTTTTTTCGTATGGATACGTTTTTGAGATATTTTCAATTTACCGTTATTCCGCTTGAAGCAAAAATTGCTTCCTTCTAATCACGTATATCTTACGAACCAATTCAAAAATCTTAATATTAGAAACGGCAAATGAAATTTAATGAAATTCTCCATAAACCATATACATATACATTCTTTTACGATAGGACTGATAGTTTCTGAAAAATGAATTAATCATTCCAGTTTTTTTTTTATTTTTTAATGAAAAAAATCAAACTTACACAGAAGAAAAATTTAAAAAATAACGATTTTCGGAATCATCGAGTAATTCTACATCGAAATTGGATATTGGCCTCTGGAGAACAAAAACCAAATTAAAATTCGTGATCCAGTGTTATATGCAAACACTTTAAGGGTAGTTCTTTTAATGGCTTGGAAAAAATAAAAAAAAAACGCCGTCAACTAACAGACAGCTCGAATCAATAAATTTTATGAATTGTTGTATTTGCATTCAAATTTCAACGAAATTATAAATAAAGTCTTTCGATAGGAAAGTATTAATTTTCAAGAATTCTGTACCATTTCTACCGAAAATTAGTTTATAAAATGTAAGTACTTGGAAAACTTTGAGAGACCTCTAAATATGACTTGATTTCCAATTTAATTTAGAAAAACAAGGGTAAAATTTTTTTCCGGTATGGAAAAATCCTGAGGGCATTATAGTTTCCATTTACTGATGAACAATCATTAATAGCGCGAAAATAACGCTAAAGTCACACTTTTCCGAGCAAGCGATGTAAGAATAGTGAAAAATTAATTATTTTTGTGTTGGTTTTGGTTGATTTTTCCGAAAGGGTGGTAAGATGATTTATTTTGGAACGAATTTCCGTCATTCCTTGTCAAGTTTGGTTTGCAGACAAACCGGTTTCGGCGTTGTACCATCTTCATTGCCATTTTTCGTTCCAAAATAAATCAATTATTTTTGTATTCAAATTTGTATTAACGAGGAAAATATACATAAATCTACATAAAAGGCAGTCACAGCTCTACGCGCCATACAAAATTAGGGCCGTTCATTGTATAAAAGACATTTTTATTTAATTTTTTGTTTCTGTCTGTTGGAAACCATAACTTTTTATTTTCAGAGCAAAATGTGAGTTTACTGGTATTTCCCATGAAACTTTTATAGTATGGACTCCTCAAATAGGGAATGAGTAAAAGCTACAGCCGATGTATGAAGCACTTATATGTATGTATATGCACATATGCAAACTAGGCTAGCTACTGGCAAAGCTCTCGTAAAATTTATACTTCAAATTGTATAATTTTTGATAATTAAAAACTTGGCAAAAACAAAGAGTTGAATATCTATATATTAATTTAAAAACGAATGCATAATTTTCTGCGGTAGAAAATTGACACACACAATTTTTTTTTTATTCCGGTTATGCTATTATATTTCAATTACATTCATAACATAATCTGAATTTTAATTGGAAATCATTGACGTCTGTGGTTAGAAATTATATTTTTGTATATTTTTTGCTATTTTTTTTTACATATCGGAAGTGGCATGGCCCATCTTTCGGTGCAGGTTCGTGGTTCAAGTCATTGGACCTTTAACTTGCTGAGCAGCAGATTCAAGCAGAAGACAAATGTTTTTTGACCACATTATACTTTAAATTTTCTGCTCAATTTAACAACTTCCGCAGCTCGCTGTCAGCTGTGTGAACTGAACTCAGCCAGCGGTATCTTTGTGGGTCGCATGCACTAGCTCAGTTGATCATGGTGGTCAAGCATAATAAATTGATGTTTTTAGATACATATCAACTCGTATAATTGTGCATAAATATGTATGTTAGTGCAAGTTTATTTGGTCGGAAATTTGTTTGTATATAAACTGCGTATTGGTTTATTAAATTTCACTTAAATTTGCTGAGTTAATACCAGATTGTGAATGTGGTTTAACTTATGTGTATATATACATAGTTTTAATTAATTGAAGTTTATTGAAAAATCCTATTAATATTTTATATGGAAGGGGTTTATATCTACCGTCATTTCTAGCGCCTATAAAGCTCATCTTTTTAAATTACCCCTTTTTAACTCCGCGACCATTTTGCTAAGATCGATTTATTAATGCAAATGACTGAACAGAACTTTTAAGGTTTCTAAGGATCCAACAGCCGGAATTTTTAACGGACTATGGGAATAATTTAAGTAACGATGGTAACTATGTAGGCCCCGAACAAAATCTGTGATTGAATAGAAATACCTTGACTCCAGCGTCAATTATAGAGTCCTGTTTGTAAATACATATCAACTGACTAACATATGCCTCGACCGTAAATCGATTTTTTGAAATAACTCGACTCTATCGCCATTTGGCGATCTTCTTTTTTGCAAATATATTTAATTTGTACTAAAGACCTTTGTTCTAAATTTTGCCTAAAATTATCATATTTCAAGTGTTATGGTCTTTATATGTATAAAAAAATCTTTCCAAATTTTACGGCAAATTTACTCCCATCGCCAAAAATTGCGCGTTTTTTTTCGTACAAAAAATACTTCGCACCAAGAAAGAATATTTCATACCAAAATAAGTACTATAAATATTTACAATGATGTACTTTTTTCCAAAATTGGAAACTCAGTGAATTTTTTGTTGCTCACTTGACATCGACACTATCTTAAAAAAATAAAATAAAATTTGGAAACCAACGACTTTTTAAGGAATGACTGACTCATTCCATAGAAGGAAGAAAATATTTTGGCAGCTTCTGATGAAAAGCCTAAATTTTTATTTTTATATACATATCTTCAACATTTAGGCTAGTTGTGTAACAGTTTGTTGGATTTACTCTCTGGCAACAACGTTTTAATCTCGCTTTAATACACATTTTATACTTCAAGTTCAGCTTTTAACACAATTTCGATTCGAAAATTCACTTACAGCCATTTTTCTCTGTTTTAGTTCAATAAAAAAAAATCACTTTATGGAATCAATGGGGAACTGTATCTTAGCCAGAACTGCGACGACTGTCTAAAACGATCGAAGTGAAATTCTCAACTGACGCAAGTGGTCGATGTGAATTTCCATTTCTCCCCAAAACAAACGAACAAACAAAGGTTGTATGGTCAAAACAAAAACAAAAATGTATTTTCTGCAAACTCAGAAGAAGAGGAAGCAGAAGCGGCAACAGCAGAACGCTACATTGTAGGCGTAGACACAAAGATGTGGAAGCATTAAAAGCTGCGGGGTGGTTTCGCCTACAAACGCCGAAAGTATTAAAAAAAAGACATTGCAATGCTACAAAAAGCGCGTCGATCGTAAAAGGCCGATCGCCAAACAAGAATGGTGGGATGACGTCAAAGCAGGGAGGCGGAGGAGGAGAGCGAGAAAGCACAGAATTTTCACGAAATTCTATAGGCGCACACCAGCGGCGAGTGTGTGCGACTTTTGCTGAAACAAAACAGAGACACCGCAGCGAAAATGTAAAAACAAAAACAAAACATTTAATTTTTATTTGACAGCATTAAACAAATGGGCATGGAAAGCCTGAAAAGCCAACAACGCGAGAGACCAGCGATTTCGCTTCCACCAACACAGCCTGCCTGACGAGGTGAATGGCGAGGTGATGGCGTTGACACTTTTGATGGTGAAGGCTATATATGTATGTATGTATGTAGCAGCCGCCTGTTTGCAGCTGTGAATAAATGGCAATCAACTCATTTCTATGCCCACTCGACGATCACACTCTCCATTCACATCAAACAAATTACAGCTGGCCACGATTGATCAAGAAAGCTGCTTGTTGTTAACGAAAATAAATAAAATACAATTCGTGCTGCTTTTCTCTACATGTCAGTGTACATTAAGAGTGTGTACGTAGGTGTTAATCTGTAGGCGTTTTATTTTCCTTCGAGCATAAATAAATAAATATTTACTACAGCGCAAGCGAAAGCAAAAGGAAATGTGTGGGAAGCTAAGTGAATGAGTTGCCTGTTGGTGGGCAACTTGTCAGCTATTTACTCGCTTTAGTTTTCATCTGCTTGTCCGCTTGTTTTGAAAATTAGGAATTTTCAACAGTACCTATGGTGTAAATGTAATTATGCCTGAAATTAAACGCTGAAATTTTTGATATGCATCATATAATTTTTATTGCTGTCACCAAAATACTGGACAGTCAGTCATAAATAAGCGTCTAACTGAAAATTTATGATTTCAAAGTGCAAGCGGTTATATACATTTGTATAGTATATAGATACTGCATGTATAAGTAAAACTAAATCGAAACATTCGAGAGAGAATTGGACTAAAAATGTTTAAGTTTGAATTGAGGTAGCTACCCGTGCAGTCAAAGAAGAAGAGATATATCCCTAGAAAAGTATGTCGAAGTGATAAGAAAGAAGAGCTGGGTCCGTCTGTGATTTCCGTCTGCCTCTTTGAGTTGTAGTGCCTCATTTTTCAAGATATTCGGGCTTGAGTGGGGAAGCCCGTACCTGCGTATGCCCATGGGTCGTCTTCAAGAAAGGAATGTAACTGGCTTTTGTAGGCCATTGTGAATTAGATTGTAGATTAACTTATTATTAACTTATTTACTTATTAATAATGTGCTGGCCGCAAGAGTAAAAATGATCCGAAGCACCTGCCTAATTTGAATTTGTGTAATCTCTCCAGCTGCCTATAGAGGAGGCTCAAAAAATTGGTAGTAGGAACAAAATTGGGATCTCCTCTCTTTGACCTTACCTTTTTTTATTACAATTGAAAAGTAAAATACGATTATTTACGTTTCGCTTGCAACAATCCGCCCTAAGGTTAATAAAAAAAATGTTTCGAGGAAAAATTCGAATTCTGCCTATGAATTTTAATTGAGCTAATTGCAGTCACTAGTAAACTTTTAATGAATTAATGCCGCCTGCTGTAGAAGCAAAACAGTGTTACAAAAACACACATATGTATATGCGCGTACACTTACATACATACATACATATGTACATATATTAGAGTGGTCCAAAAGAAATTTTTCGAGATAGGAGTGCCCCAAATCCAAAATTTTTCCTCTTGCCGAAAGAGGTTTTGTTATCAAACTTTACGTTTCTAAGTAGTACAAATTTAGAGGATGGTCATGATGCTCATATTTTACTTTAGAAGTATTATTACACATTTTAATTAAATAATTGGTTAAGCAATCTAAAAGCATATGAAATTCAAATTATCTAAAAATATATCGCAAGGTTCAGTTGTCATGGCTACAGTAGCTTTTGATAAAAATCGCCAATATTTTTGTCACTTTCATAGCGATCCAGAAGTGCATTTCAAGGTCATTGGTTACAGTAAACATTTTAAAGTTGCTATAGATATTACAAATATCAAAAGGAAAAAACTAAGGAGGTGCCCCGTTTTCTAGGATGAACTATTTTTTCTCCATACAAAAATTAGACCACTCTAATGCATATATGTATATGTGTCCTTATTGCAATGTAACAAAAAATCTGAATAAAAATGCTACAATTTATTGAACGAAAATTTGGCACAGTTTATTTTGGCATTTTGCGCGCGGCCACCGGCCACATATTTGACGTTTTCAAGTTCGCTATCGGCCGCAATCGTCTGCTCAATTGCCATGTTCTCTGCCAACGCCATCCACGCCGCTGCCACGCCACGTCGCTTAATCTGTAGGTATATAGCAGTGGCTGTTTTTGTGGCGCGTGGGCGCCTCAAAATGTAGCCAAATCACGTCATCGTCGCAAACGCCACTGCATATATACATACATACATATATGTATGTACATATGTAAATATTTCGAAAAACAAAAATAAAATAATTATTTTAATGTTAACGTATGCTGCTCAAAGCATAAGCATAAATATGTATTTACTTTGCCGTTGATATGTTGTTTGTTGTTTGTGTTGGCTGCTTCCTGCGCTGTTTAAAGAAAAGAAAAAATCACAGATGCAGCGATTTGCCACCATTGTTCCATTAGTCAGAAAGCCAGTTGCAGGCTGCGGCATAGAACTACAAGTTCAGCGTACAGCAGATTTTAGAGACAGTTGCTTTCATTACGTATACGGCCTGTCTAACCTCGCTTTTAATTGTAAGCAGCCAAAAGCAAATCTAAACAGCAACTTTATAAACATTTATATACTACATGTTTATTCTATGCAAACAGATCTAAATTAAAATGTTACGTCAATGGCCACAGCAGCTCATTGAATATAGTTGTTGTAATTTTAATTTACCGGTGCTCGAAAATCCTAAAATCGCCGCAAATTATATTGCTCTTCTGTTGATAATTAATTTAATTTTTCATGCATTTTGCACTTTTATTTTAAGTACATATGCTCACAGCACGCCTGACTGATTGTGTCTATTTAGAATTTCTGATATATTTATTCTGACATTTATAGAAAAGACATTCATTAACAATTGGAAATGCAGAAGCATTCAATGCATTTACATATGTAAATAAAATGAGATTACCTTTTTAGGCATTACATAATAATTGTCATTGTTATGTAAGCCATTTATAAAATAAATTAATAATATTTTTTTTTTATGGAAAATATGACTTCTTTTGGTAAGCTTTCAAACTGTATGTCACAATAATTTTTCATCGCATATATCAAAACCAGTGGTGAGAACTATGTTCGTATAATAAAAATAGTAAGAGGAAGTTCATATTGGGTACCCATAGAATAAGGCAGCGGGTTTTACATAGTTATTGCACGCCTAGCGCTACTTTTGCCATTGGTGATTGGCGTTCACACCTATACCACAAGTCATCAAGCAGATTCTGTGTCCACCTGCAGTAATATCAGCATTTGCTGTTAGGCTTCATGAACGGCCCTGGCTGATCGTAATCGTTTTGTTTATTCATCAGGTGGAGCAAGTTCTGGAAAGTTTACGTTTATTGTAAATATTTCTGTGGTTTTTATCCATTCTGTGTTATGATATTATTCATTATTTATAGATAGTGGTAGTAAGAGGAGCATATTGTAATACAAGGGTTCGAACCCCAGTCAAAGCCAAACCCCAAAAAAATTGCATATAATTATTTCGAATCAGCGACGGGCAGCCTCGGCAGTAAAAGCAAAACTCGGATTTTTTTCGCGATGAAAATGCTTTTAAAAAATCCATTTGCCGTTCGAAGGCGGCACACAAATTTGCGAAGAAGCTCGGCCAAATACTTAGCAGAAGTGTAAGCACCAAAATATTGTTAATTTTATATCAATAAAAATACATTTATTCATGCAGTTTATAATTTTCAATTAACCACATTGGTTACCATTCTAAAATCTGTATTTTCACACTCATTTATACAGAATTTGCAGTAGCCATTGAAATGAAAACGCTTCGAGAAAATAAAGCAGAACCAAATTGGCCTCTCCAAATAAACATAAAACTTTTTTTTTTTTTGTACATTTGAACTTGAAAGTGAAATCCACTAAGCGTAGAAAGCTATTTTGGCACGAAAAATCATTTCACACAAACAAACAATATTCGCGAGCATATAATGAAGAAAAAAATGTCTACATATCTGAATACAAAAATTTTATGTGAAGTAAACTAAAAAAAAAATAAGTAAAATAAATAAATAGCAAGTAAATAGAAGAGTGAAAGAAAGTGGGTAATTTTAGATTTAAAATAAGAAAAACTATAAGCATAAATTCATATAAAAATTTAGAGGAGCTCCTAATTTCTTTATGATTTAATGATACAAACTAAACCACCTTTCAACTTTCAGAAAAAAAAAATATTATTAAAACGGTTACGGTATGAATAGAGGTTGTACAAAAGATCTTCAAATTTACTAGGCGGCATACACGGTGCGTCTGACTCGCGAGTCAGTTTGGATGTGTTAGTGCAAATAAATATGTGTTAGTTACACCGAAGGGACTCTGGCAAGACTCTGAGTGACTCAACTGTGTGTAGTCGAAAGGCGAGTCAACACGTACACAGATGACTCGCGAGTCAGACGCACCGTCTATGGGGCCTATACGAGAGATACATTTTTTATTTTTATTTTTTCTTTCTACCACAATGCAAATACATATGTATTTCTAATTCAAGCAGTTT